ACGTACAGATGGAACATTTGTGATGAGAGTGTTCATAGGTGGTGCTACGTGCTCTGAATTGCCTCATACCAGGGACACATACTTTTTAGGTGCCCCACTCTTAGCTGGATCATGAGAGGTGATTTGTTTAAGATAGGAGGATACAGCTTGTTCTGTGAGGATGGGGTGATCTTTGAGGAAGGGATGCCTACTAATGCGGAAGGAAAAGGGGGACATTTTATGAAACAGTTTCCTGAAGTAGACAGGAGGGTGAAGAATTCAGTGGGTAAGCATTGATCATTGGAGGTGTTGAACACAGCCAGTTCATTTAACATAACAAGGAATGTGGGCACAAACGATGTGAGCTGTGTTAGTGTGCTGAAGAAAGTTCTGTGCTGGAAGTTCCGTTTTCATCATGAAAAAGGAGCAGGTTCATTAGAGCAGAGTGAGAATGGGAAGGTATTTAAGTCGAACTCCTGAAGAGTGGCAGGTAAACGCACTGGGAGGAGAACATCATTACTGGGCAGCTGTAAGCATGTAGTGACCAGTAGTGATCAGTGATGTGAAATGAAATGTGTGTGTGTGCACACGCATGTGCTTCTAGCCTGTTCAATGCAGGGATGGAATAGGACAGAGAGTTGGATTTAACCAGAATTGGACTTTAGCCAACCATGAGTAGTGAGAGAGGGTCAAGAATCAATCTAAAGATTGACCTCATGATTTAAGCTGGCTAGGGAGGGAGGGTAGGAGGGAAGTAAAGAACAGTCAGGGAAGATTTTTGGAGTTGGGGTACTTGTCAGAATAAGCTATAAAGGTAGAAGTGGTGGCTGGGAGGAGAAGTCTGAAATTGAGATGAAGGATTGATAATTGGTTTTGGAAATAGCAAAATCAGAGTTATACCCTGAGAATGAGTGACGGAGATGATAGTCACTGGGGTAGAGATGATCAAAGAAATGCAAGGCCCATAGGCTCGAATAGGTACCAGTGGGGATGAGTGTCACTGAGCGTTATGACAGAAAGAGTGTTTGAGAGAATTAGTGATCCAGGAGCTAAAAACATTCCAAGAACACAGAGGAGCCTTTATCTGGCTCCGGGAGAAGATGCTGCAGCAAGTGGGATGCAGTAACAGGTAGTGCAGACTGTGTGGGGATTTTGCCACAAGGAGGAAATAGTTTGATGCCCGTGAAGTTCTCAGCACACAACCTGCAGGTGCTTGTGCTGAGTGGGCGTAAATGGCTCTCAATCTGAGTCCACATGGCTCCAGAGAGCTGAGCTTAAACCACAGGGTCTATTTTCATAGGGAAGTTGATTTTTTTTATTTTGAAATTTTTCTAAAGAAAAGACAGCAGTTCACATAGCCACGTGGGACTGGAGTAGTGACTGCCATCATTCAGAGCATCCAATGGCTAGATGAACATCTGCACAGCAGTGCTCTGAAGGGGTTCTAGTAACTAAAGGTAGTGAGGAGAGGGAGGTGTTAGAGTCAGCTTCATTCTTTCATTAAAAATCACTGAGCCTTTCTTAGTTACAGGCCAGATGCAGGGAACCAGAGATGTCTCAATGTGGTTGGAACAGATTAGTCAGACAAATGTCCCATAGTGTGAGGAGGGCCAGGGCAGGCACAGCGAAGTCATATTGAAATCTGTGGGAACAAGGAACACTTGAGAGAGGAACATGAACTGGTGTTGGAGAGTGAATAGGTGTGGCCCACACACAGGACACAAAAGGACAATCCACTCAGAAGTAGCTGTAAAGGCATGAAAGAGTCTGGAACATGTGGCGTTCTCCAGTTACCCTGAATAAATTACGTATTCTTGTCTGTTTCCCTGTTTGTAACACGGAGATAGTAATGGTATTCAAAGAACAGGGGACAGTGAAAGGTAAATGAAGTGTGTTATGATACTTGACACAAGTTGGGGTTGTAATCTTTTGGGGCTTATTTTCTTCCTTGATTTTGCAAATGAGCCTGTGAGATAGGCTGTGTCATCTTTCCCATTTTACAGGTACATTAGCTGAGATTCTGGGATTGATTAATCTAAGGTCATGTAACTGTCAGGACACAAAGAGTTTGGGCTCTTGCTCCAAGTCAGACTGATTGCAAAGCAAGTGCTTTTGAACTCTATGCACAGGGCTAGTGCTAAGTAAATAGTAGCTGTCATTATCCTGGTTACTCATTTGACTTCTAGAGCTGAGGGTCCTATCACCACTTCTGCTCCTGATGTCTCATCAGTGCCTGTCTGTGACTATTTGTGGAAGGTCCACCTTACTCATGGTACATCTAGAGGGACAGTTGCACACTCATTTCAACTGGTTCACGTTGGAGAATCAAGTACGGGGCATGATTTTTGTGTTCTTAGGGAGCAAGACTTTCTGAGCAAATGTTCCCAACTAACATAGTAAGAATAATAAAGAATAATAAACAATAAAACCGCTTGTCAGTAGTTTTTCCCATCCCAACCGTGTAAATTTTTTCCTAGATACTTGGACATGCATAGTTACATGCATACAGATAACATTTTCTGCTTTTCCATTAAGAGTTTTAAGTGTTTTCTTCTCTATAGCTACAATGCACACGTAATTTATATTTTTTTAAGTGTGTAAGTACTATATTTTAGCTATTATTGCATGCTTAGTTAACAGATTTTCACCATTATAAACAGGTTGGAAATTAAAACCTTTCTGTTTTTATATGCATATTGCTTTATATATGTGCAAATTCTTTTCTCATTAATCCTCTTTCAATCCTCACAACTATGTAAGGTATGGAATTGTTTCACAAGTAAAGGAACTGAAATGAACAATCATTTTCTCTTTGGAATTGTTTATTCAGTCCCGTTTCTTAGAAATGTGATAATTTGATCAGTACTCATAAGCTCTTAAGCCTATGACTTGAGAACTTTCTAGAAAGGTTAAACTAACTTATGCCTGTCTTTCAGGTGTCTGACAATTTTATTATTATTTGTCCAGAAATGCATATTATCATTTTAAGACTGCTGAGTGACGTGAAGTCTTTGACCTATTATTTTAATGTTCTGGTTGTCTCCTTTAGGTCTCTCTTCTGATTAACCCTAACTGTTAAGTGTTTTTAATTTATGATTTCTCTGTTCATGTTCCCTGCTTCTGTAGTTTGGGAGTTTTTTACCATATTAACCCTTTTTCTACGCGGACTCACTTTTCATTGTGCAGAAGTTGAAATTTTCTGACAATTAAATCCTTGAAGCTTTTTTGTTTTAAGCATTGCAATCAAAACTGGAAATAGCTAAGAAATATAGAGCTTTGTTTTTGCTTTAAAAATTAAATATATATATGTCACACTAAATATATAAACTTTGCTTTTTATTTATTTTTTTTGCTGCACTGGTGCCTTGTGTATACTAGACATGCACCTTACCACTGAACTACATCTCACAGTTGTTTTTCAGTCTCAACAAGCAATCAATGTCCATTTTAGACATTTTTGAATAAATATATAATTGCAAAGATGGAAATGCCCATTTTTCTACTATGTTCATTTTTCCTAGTAGTGTCTTTTTCTCTGTGTCACACACACACACACACACACACATTTTTAAAGTATTTATTTCTAAATTTGAGTAGTAGTATTTACAGTTCTATAACCTGAGTTTTTCAGTTAAAAATATATGGATTGTTATCTCTGGAAGTTCAGTTTGGTGTCTTACATTTTCTGTAGGGCACAATTTTTTAAAATTAATAACTAAACTGATATAAGTCTCAAACTAAAAATATGTAAATGTATTTTAGAATGTATATTCTCAATTCTATATCTACTATAATTTTTGAGTATTGTTCATGAACAAAACTGTAATACCAAGCTTCAAAAATACTGTGAAATTTTTTAGCCCTTGCTGTAATGTGAGTTCGACATTCATTCCCTTTCAAATTCTCCAACCTATACAAAGTTTTTCAATGTCATCGTGTTTTTTTTTTAAAAAAAAATGCTAATAAAACATACATGTATGTATTGAACTTTCACATATCATTAAATATTACTTACAAAAAATTTTTAAAAATCTGTCTGGAGTTTATTTGGGAGTTTATTTATTTGGACTTGTTGTTTACCCTTAAACAAAGATTAATCACATCTCTTTTCAGATGGGTTGAGAGTGCCCACTTTATCTTTCTAGAATGTTCTTGTTGGTGCCTGTCTGTTTCTCAGCTCTCTATACTGTCATAGATCTGGGTCCATCATGAGCTCATCATTCTTTTCCGCATGTCTTCGATAGCCCACACCTACAGAAGTGTCCATCCGACTTGTTAATGTTTAACACTGCTCTGCTAGAAAAACACTCTCACTTCCTCTTTTATTTGAATTTCCAGATGTTTTTTGATCATCCTGAGAAAAATGAGCCTTGGCCTCCAGATGTAATAAAGCACACCTCCGTCCCATGGAGAACAGTGCCAGTTCTTGAGAGCCTGGTGGGCCTGCAGCCCCAGAGGGATTAGCCAGGATCAGGTAAGACAAGGTAAGAGAGTGTGAAACTAAATTTTGGGAGACATTTCTGAGTAAAAGATACGTGCCAGGATTTGGCAGCAAGGGTCTCTCTCACTGTCTGGTTCCAGCTTTGCTGTCCTCTTGTCTTTTTTCCTTCCTAGTGAGGACCAAGGTGGGGATAACTGGCGTGTCCCTTTCAATAAGCTGTAAATCTAAGGTCTGAATTATTCTATACCTGATTTAGCCTCCTAAGAGGACCTAGTATGTGCTGAGCACTACTGCATTTGCATTCAGTGTCTGTGGTGAGTAAACCAGGCCAGAGCTCCGGGCTTCACTGAGGCTTTTGTTTTGCTGGTTTGTTGACTTGGTCTCTGCAGGTAGGAATGTATGTTACTGCTGTACTCTTTTTCTAGAAGCCTCCTCCAGGTGTAAGAATTCATCGATACAGTTTTTTCAGTTCAGTAATCCCTAACTGAGCACACTCTGTGCCAGGCACTGTTCTTGAACCCATTATTCAGAAAGGATGCCAGAATCCATTCTCTTGTAGTACAAGGGTTAGGCACAAAAAACTAGCTTCACAAAGCGCTGGTTGCAAGTAACAAGCAGGATCGGTGTTGATGTGGAGGTGAGCTCTGCTGCAGGTCAAGGGCAGGGAATGAATGTACCACTTACAAAGCATAGAAGCCTAAGAAACCAGTCTGGTGATGGGAAAATTCAAAATGTGCTATGCTTTTCCAGAAAATTGTGAAGAAAAATGCTGTTCTCTTTTCTCTCTAATGGGCTGTTTGGGTGAAGCTTCTTCAGTCTCGATTTTGTTCAAACAGTTCGAGAAGTAAGAAAGGGTCCTATAGCACCAAGTGCCCTAACGAGAAATCCCAGAAATTCAGGAAACCTCAAACAGCTCACACAGTGGTAGTGTGGAGAGACCACACAAGCCCTCATGACAGGGTGGTTAAGTGTGTTAAGACTGGCACAGGTCATGGAGATCTAGACCAGCTGAGGGTTCAAGACTGTCATGGGGCTGTCTGTGGAAACACTTTATTCCTGAAAATCCTGGGAAAACCAGTACCAGCCCCATCTGAGAGCCTCAGTTCTCCTAAAAATGAAATGGGGCTCTCCGTGACATCTCCTTTCATTCGTAAGTCAAGTTCCAAGTCTTCCATTTATTTCCAAATCACCCGCACAATTTGAAAATTGTATGTATTTCTAAAACCTTTAAATTGAGCTCCTAAAATCTTCCCTGCTTATCTTGAAGCACCATACTGGATGTTATAAAACTTAACTAATGTGAAAGAGGTCCTGGTAAATGGTGCCCACCAAGGATGGCTGGTGAACAGAAAGCATGGTGGAAGGATTTTACTCTGGTTGGGAATTTCCTTTCTGGCACTCTGGTCCCTGAGTCTTGATGGTTAGCACTGAATGCTCACTATTGTTGATCACAGATTTCTGTTCTTTAGTAAAGAGACCAGATACTTATGAAATACTTTAGTAATAAGTGTTTAGAAGCAGATAGTTAAAATCTTGGTTCTAGCAGTGATGAGCTATTGACTTTGGAGAAACCTTGTTAAGCCTCAGTCTCTCTAACATAGAGTTGCGAATATTTACTTCATAGTATTAAATGTAAAGATTTAGTGGGAAATTGCAAGTAATGTGCATTTTCTTAAATGTGGTTTCTTTTCTAGTTTATCTAGCGCTGTCATACGGTCATCCGATTAGTTCTATTGATTGTCTGAGGAAATTTAATTCATTAGTTTCCCGATAATATAACAAGCCTTCCACCTCCCACTTCATGATGTTATTTCTGAATTCTTTCTCTCCTGGGTATATTTCATTACTTCCAAAATATGGCTCTCTTGCCAAAGGGCTGCTCTCCTGACTCTGCTCAGAATACCTAGCTCCAGCCTATTAACACATCCTCTTCCTTTGTACTCCTAACACTCCACAAATGAAATGGGCACAGATAACTATTTTGTAGACGCTTAGGGTCAAACATATTCACCAAACATACTCACTTCTTAAGGTCACCAAAGATGGAGTCGGAAACCCAGGTTTCACAAATGGCAGTTATTTCTGCTGCTTTACTCCTAACATCCTTAGGAGCACTGTGCGGGAAAATGCTTCAGACCCCCAGAGGGTTAGCCAAACCCCAAGGACAATCGCTTTGATTCATTAAGGTAGGTAAACTCAGTGATTGAGGATAGAATTTCATGTTTTCCAAAAGATAAAGACATTGTTTGAGTTCAAAGTACTTCTGTCTCCCACTGAGTTACACAATAATTGAGAAAACAGAGCAGGTCTTTACTCAGGTATGAAGGGAACTGTTTCTAGACTTTCTTTGCTTAGTGAAGTCCATTTCCCAGAATTTTAAACAGGTACGTGCATGGGATAGTAGGAAGGATTTGGATTATGGAATCAGTACACTTGGATTCAATCCTCAGGGCAACTATTTCCTTTGCTCTGTGAACCCAGGTACTTCCCTTAATCTCACATGACCTCACATTGCTAGCTTATATTGGGGCTCATAACACCCTTACTGACCATGATAGTCAGAGCTCATCTGCACAGCTTGTGGGAAGCCCTTCAGATTAGGCTTTGATATCCATGGTTCTCAATCATTATGGAAAACTTAAGTAAAACGGCATCTGGTATGCTTAAATACATTTTTGTTTTCTTTTCCTTCATTGACCACATGTCTGCTCTCCTACCAAGATTTCCTATGCTCTCTCATGAAACAAGCTAGCTGCTTGTTTTGAGTGCTTTTCCGTATGCTGTAAAACACTGAATGTTGTAGTGTGACACTCACTCTTGGTCTTATTTTCATACAGAAGTCCAAGATCATAGCCTTTACAGAGATGTATCACAAATCAATAGCATCATATATGGAGGGGGTCCTTTCTCTGGCTCTTTTAAAGCATGTAGAATTTCAGAGAGTCTGGATTTTGTGTAGAGACTAGTCAACTCGCTTCTTTTTTATTTGAGTGTATCAAGTATTTATACCTTTGTTTCACAGAGAGTAGGAGGCTGTAGGAGCAGAATGATGTGTGAGAAGCTTCTCTCTGAGCTTCTTGAATGATCTAGAACAGGATGCCAGAAACCAAGCTTCAAGGTGCAAAAAGTGAGCATAGGAAGATTCATAAAGTGTTTGAGGCTCAGAGAGGAAGAAGGAATACTGTCTGCACATTCAAAGTCCAACTGAAGCTAATTTGTTTGACTTGCTCAAGACTGCATAGTTGGTGGGAGGCAGACAGGCCTGGACTTCAAGACACCGCCGTACTCTAAATCCTTTGCTTGGCCCATCACCCCACTGCGTGCCATTTTTGGGTCTATTTTCCATCATCTTTTTCCCCTTGTCCTACTTTTTTTAGGCTTCGTTTCCTGCTCAGAACAGTGGCTTCCCTGCATACACCTTTCATTATGATTCACACCAACATGAAGAAAAAATTCAGCTGCTGTGTCCTGGCCTTTCTCCTGTTTGCAGTCATCTGTGTGTGGAAGGAGAGGAAGAAAGGGAGTTACTATGATTCCCTTAAATTCCAAGCCAAGGAATTCCAACTGCTGAAAAGCCTGGGGAAAATGACCATGGGGTCTGGTTCTCAGGCCTCAAGCGACACCCAGGACCCTCAGGAAGGCAGTCAGATCCTCAGCAATCCCAGGGTCACAGCCAAAGTCAAACCACAGTCTTCCTTCCAGGTGTGGGACAAAGACAGCTCATCTAAAAACCTTATCCCCAGGCTGCAAAAGATCTGGAAGAATTATCTGAACATGAACAAGTACAAAGTATCCTACAAGGGGCCAGGGCCAGGCGTCAAGTTCAGTGCAGAGGCCCTGCGCTGCCACCTTCGGGACCACGTGAACGTATCCATGGTAGAGGCCACAGATTTTCCCTTCAACACCTCTGAGTGGGAGGGTTATCTGCCCAAGGAGAACATTAGGACCAAGGCTGGGCCGTGGCACAGGTGTGCTGTTGTCTCTTCAGCGGGATCTCTGAAATCCTCCCAACTGGGTCAAGAGATAGGTATGTTAAGATTGTTCTGAGCGGCCAGAACTCCTGGTAGTGCCCCGGCATTTTCAAGACCCTAGAACAGTAGCGTTGGCTCAGGGCTATGTTTTCGGCTCTCTTTTCTTAGAGTGAGAAGTATTCCGGGGATAGTTGAGAAAAGGGGATCGAGGCCTGCAGCATCTTTTTTTTTTTTTTTTTTTTTTTTTTTTTTTTTTAAAGTACTGATTGTGGGGGGAGAGTGGAAAAAGAGGGCGGGGCGCCCCCACGTTTTTTTTTTTTTTTTTTTTTTTTTTGTCTTTTTGAAGCAGGGTCTCCCTGTAGCCCCAGCTGTCCTGGAACTCACTATGTAGACCAGGCTGGCCTTGAACTCACAGAGATCCACCTGCCTCTGCCTCCCAAGCCTCTGCCTCCCAAGTGCTGGGACTATAGGCATGCGCCACCACATCTGGCTTCAGCATCTTTTTTAAAATAAATTTTTTGTTTATTTAATTTCACATATGTATATAATATATTTTAATCATAGTAACTCCCCTCTCTCCTGCCTCCAATTCCTCCTGGATTTACCTCCCTCAAACACACATACATCTCCTTTCTGACTTCATGTCCTCTTTTCTTTATTATTATTACCCATTGAATCTGTCCGTATGTCCATGTGTATGGAGTTATATGTCCATAGGTGTGGGGCCATCCACCGAGCGTGGTCAACCTACCATGGCCCACACTCCTAAAATACTGACTTTCCCTTGCCTAGCAGTCATGAGCTGTCAGTAGCTCCTCAGGTGTGAGTAGGGGTTTATATGCCCCTTCCTCATCCATGTTGGAGTGTTGACTAGCTTGACCTTGTGCAGGTCTTGTGCAGACAACCCCAGCTGCTGTGAGTCATGCCTTGTCTAGAAGACCTGTTTCTCCCTGACCTTTAGTTCTTAGAATTTTTTCTGTCCCCTTTTCCATGATGTTGCCTGAAGGTATATAGCATTTTTAATCCATTAGAATATTTTTATCTGTTTCAAATATTGGTGTTCTACAGAGCATTTAATTTGAAAAAGAGAGTTCTGCTATCAAAAAGCAAAAATCCACAATTGACTTGTGTGTGTGTGCGTGTGTGTGTATTGCCTGCATGTATGTAAGTGCACCTGTGTTGTGCAATGCCCATGGAGGTCAGAAGAGGGCATCAGATTCCCCTGGAACTGGAGTTAGCAACTGTTGTTAGCCCCTGTGTGGGTGCTGAGATTCGAACCCAGGTCCTCTGCAAGAGCAGCCAATTCTCTTAACCATTGAGCCACTTCTCCAGTCTCATGATTGACTTTTTTCTTTAATAATCACATGATCAGAAGAAGCATTTCATTACAACAGCACTGACATATTCAGTAACAATTTCTAGAGCAAAGATGCATCTCTTTCAAAATTGGCTGTAAATTTTTAGGTTCACAGTTGAATTAATACAGTTATACAATGTTGTACTCAGTATAAACCCTATAAGACATAAAATTTAATGAGGTTTTAACCTTTAAAAAAGATATCCATTTCACTTTAAAATAGTTTCATACAGAAAAATTCATTTTTAGTGCAACTAATGCTTAGATGTTTGCACATGCATCTCTAATCTCTATGTATCTGATTATTACTAGTCATAGTTGGTTACTTTCTGAGATCTTTGGCACCTCAGCATGGATATAAAATCATCAGGTAGATTTCAGTGGTAATGTTTTTCATCTCTACTAATTAACATGAAGCAAATTTTTATGCTTCTTCTTCAAATATAACTCATTTTTTTATTTATTGATTTTTTTTGGTGTGTATTTCATACAGAACATCCCAAACAATCTTATTCATGTATATACCCACATCCCAAATGGCACCCTCCCATAGCGCCCCCCCCCCTGCCGCTGGAGCCCATATGCTCTGTCATCCCTGTTACTGTCCACTGTGTTGTCAGCTCCCCTGACTGTTCCCCAGTGCTTGTTGTGTCTAGTCAGTCTATCTAGAGTTCCTTATTTTAGGATGATCAGCTCTTCCTCATCTAGCAGCAATCAGTTGTCAATACTCCTTTAGATAAGATTGGGGTCTGCTGTACATTTTCCCAGTTCTATGCTGGGTTACTGTCTGGGAGTCTCTTGGGCCACCATGGCCAGCAACTCAAAGGAAGGCATCTCCTATCTGGCATTGTTTTTTGTTATGTAGCCTTTAGCTATACACATGGGCATTTAAAGAATTATGTTGATCCCTTTAATCTTTGGTTATACTTTCCTTTTGGGTGTTTAAGACCATACAACTGGCACATATAAACCAATTTATTCTTACTTTTAAGGTCATTTGCGGATCTGTTCCTCAGGGGTCACATGGGCTTGGGAGGAGCCCCTGGCTCCTTTCTTTTACCAGTTCCATCTATGTGAAGATGAGTCAAAGGTCCTACTCGACCACATCTGACCTCACTTGGAAGCACTAAGGAAATGTTTCCTCCAAGTTGACCCTCCTTTTTGTAGACTGGATACTGGTTCTAGTCCATCTAGTTGGGTCTCCATGGCCTCCTTGATTAAGAGGACAGGTGACTCACCACAGTTACAGGACATTTTGAGAGATGCACATAGTTCCCTGGAACTTAGTCGACCTTGGAGGGTAAGGAGCAAAAGCTGTCCTTTAAGTCCCTCTGACCAAATTAGTATAGGCCTCAAAGTACGGCTGTTAAACATCCAAGAAGGTTAGTTCCACCAGTCTGGTACTTTTTATTAGCATGTGCTATGTATATAAAGCTTGGGCAAAGACCAAAGGTTCTCAGATAAACCTTATCTACACATATATTATATTATTTGATCTAGTTGTACGTATAATTTGTCATTAGGTTATTCGATTAATAAGTTTCCCTCTGATTTTTTTTTTAAACTAGCTAGGCATTATTTATCTCTTCTCATTGTCTAACCCTTCCACCATGGTTTCCCCATTTTCCCCTTAATAATACCCTTCTCCTATGGTCCTACCTCTCTTGAGCTCCTTCAAGGCCAGCCTGGTCTACATAGTGAGTTCCAGGCCAGCTGGGGCTACAGGGAGACCCTGTCTCAAAAAGACCAAAAGAAAAGAAAAGAAAAAAAGGATTGACTTTTAAAAGCATAGAACTCTATTTCATTTTCAGGATCTAAAATTCTGTTTTTTAAACTGTGTGTGTGTGTGTGTGTGTGTGTGTGTGTGTGTGTGTGTCACATGCTCATGTGTGTACATGTGTGCATATGGGGGGCATGCATCTGCCACTGTGCACCTGTGGAAGTCAGAAGACAACCTCAAGTGCTGTTCATCACCTTCCACCTTGTTTTCAGACATGGTCTCTCTATTGTTTGCCCCTGTTGTATATCCCAAATGGCTCATGAGGTTCCCGGAATTCTCCTGTATCTGCATCCCATCTTACTGTAGGAGCACCAGAATTACCAACATACAATATCATGTCTGGCTTTCTGCGGCTTCTGGGGAGTCACAGATTTCATGGCTTACTTGCAGAGCCATCTCACACACAGGACCTCCAGCAGGAATTATTAGGTTTGGGGCTATAGTCCAATTTCAGGCAATTCATGCATGAATCCTTAGAATTGCATACAAAAATACCCATGGGTTAGGTATGTATAAAGTATTCGTACATCTGTCTGGATTTCTTCTAGGGAAAGACTCCCTAGATTGTGCCTGATTCTGAGTGGTCTGTGACTCCAAAGGCTTAGAGCCACTAGTTAAAATATGTTTGCATTTTTGGAAACCTTTGTAGCTAATAAAGATCAAATTCTATTCATATTGACAAACTGCAACAGAGAGCTACTAATTTGCTCACATCCCCTTATCTCCGTCACTTTGAGAGTAATTAGTTTTCATTATTGTGAAGAGTTTGGCTGTAAAGAAAGGAAAGCACAGGAAGCCTTTGTATCAGGCTGGAGGTCCTGGAGCAGGTGAGGTCATAAGACTTTTATTTCCTTCCTGTGACTGCCAGGAAAAATGGCCTGAAACCAGGCACAAGTTCTCAAAGAAGAAATGCAGACCCAAATTGGATTCTGTAGAGCAGAAGGAGGTGGTGAGATCACATGTTCTGCCTCCCCAAGTAGGCAGAGATTGCCACAAGGCTGCCAAAGTGGTCAGCTCCACCTCAACTTTGGCTTTTACCCTTTTCATTTCTTTTGGATGTTGTTTCCTAGAAACTAAATGGGATCATGTCTAACCCATTTTTGCTAGAGAGCAGTGGTGTTTAGTGCAGCTCAGGTGTTTGCTGTCCCTCGCTGTTCATGGTGAGTTATTGCCTGGCTGAGAGCGTGTTCAGGAGCCTGATCTCTTTTCAGACTGGAAATACAGCTTTATTTTTATGCATTCTTAAAAGTTTGAGTGATTTAAATAAATGTTAGTGAAAATAAACTTTTTCTATAGACTGCGGTTACAGCTTCAGGTGAGTACTGTGGACAAACTTTGATCCTGAGATATGTTAAAAATTGTATCTTTTAAACTTCAACATTGCTGATTGTTATAGGGAATTTCCTCTGGGAAATCTAACAAACACTTTAAAACATCCATTCACTAATTCCTTTTATTCATTCATTAATTCATTAACAGTACAAAGTAGCAGCCTGAGATACGAAGGGCTTTCCACTTCCCTGAAACTTGTTGGGACTTGTTGCAACTGTTGAATGTACTGGATGGCTTCACGTTGTTCAGTTTTACACATAATATTTCCAGCAAGATTTTAGCTCAGATAAATTAAGAGGTTACTCTTGCCCTCCAATGGAGAGCTATCCTCAGAAGTAGGACTACAAAGCCCAAACAAGCTAGTTTTATGGTTATTTTCCAGCTATGACAGCATTGTTTGGTAGAGACTATAAATGTCCTGTGCCTCCAGCAGCTCCACAAATTAGGCTGTGGTGGGACCATAATTCTCAGTTACATTTGATAGCTTACTTATGTGTGTAAGCTATTTGGATTTGTTGGGAATTTCATTTTAAATAGCATTTAAAAATATTTTATTTATCATTTTTATTTTATGTGTATGAATGTATTGCCTGCATGTATGTGAGTGCACCCGTGTCGTGCACTGAGTGCTCTTGCAGAGGACCTGGGTTTGATTCCCAGCACCCACATAGCAGCATTTTTTTTTTTTTTTTTTTTGGTCTTTTTTTGAGACAGGGTCTCCCTGTAGCCCCAGCTGTCCTGGAATTCACTATGTGGACCAGGCTGGCCTTGAACTCTGCCTGCCTCTGCCTCCCGAGTGCTGGGATTAAAGGCGTGCGCCACCACGCCGGGCAACACTATCACTGATAGGAATGGCACTGTGCATCTACTGTGCACTTAGCATGCCTGCTTTATTTTGTTAAATATATTTATTAATTCCATGAGAATTTCATACATGAATACAATGTGTTTTGACCATATTCACTCCCTCACTCTTTCCCTCGCTTCTCCCAATGTTATGTCCTCTCTTATTTTTATTTTTTAAATAATCCACCGAGTCCAGTTTGTGCTACTCATATACTTATGGGTGTGGGACCATCCACTGGAGTTTTGTTGACCTACTAGGGTCTGCAGGTTACACCTTAAGGAAAACAGACTCCCCCTCCCCTAGAAGCCATCAGCTGTCAATAGCTCTTCATCTAGGGAGTCTTGCTCGCTCTTTCCCTTCAGTCCTGTAAGGTCCACAGGATCGGGTATCAATCCCTTCAACCTTCTTGCTGGCTGAGCTTTCTCCTACAGGATGGAGCTCAGGACCGCCCTTCCTCAGCTTGGGGTCTCTGCTCTCCCTGCCACGGTGTGCCTGGGGTAGCTACAGCTCCCTGCATCAGGCAACCGTGTTAGTCTGGTTTCCTCAAACTCAGCTTTGTGAATTGTCCCTCTAGGAAACTGTTTCTCCTTTAGGGTTCTTCCTCTCCTTCCTGCTGGGATCTGTGACTGGGGGAGTTGACTAGGTGCTGCCTCTGGCAGGTTTGTGTTTCTGTCTATCTTCTGCTCACTTTTGAAACCAGTGACTGATTCTGAGAAATCCTGCTGCAGTTCTGAGTTGTGTGAAGTTGGGCCTCCTGTCCTATTTGCAGTTCAGTGCACCTGCCCAGGAAGCTGATAAGATTTGGACTGTGCTCGTCTTTTTATTTTTTTTTATCACTTTTAATCCATTTCAGAGGCAGTTTGCCCAGGAAGTAAGGCTAAGGCTCTGTTGTTTCTGTGAATAAAGTGTCTGGATTCCTGAGATTCAGTATATGTATTGGAACTAAAACAAAGAGGAGGCTTTTGTTGCTCAATTCTGTGACATCCTTCTTCCAGGTCTTCTATGGAGCCAAATGGCTTTGTTCTTCCAGTCTTTTCTGTGTAGATGATGAACAGCCTTCAACAAACCCCCATGGTAGGAAATAGGATAACAGATGGTCTAAGTCTGCCGCAAATTTTGCTAGTGAACTCAAACTTGCTTGAGAAAGTGAGTTGAGATGGTTCCTAAAAGCCATCATCACTGCTCTCCTCCATCAGATTGGTCACTGGTAGGTACAAAGACTTCTCCAAGGGTTCCAAATTATGCTTGAAGGAGGTATGGCCCAGAAAGTAATTTGTTTTTTGAGATGGCCTGTTTAATCTTGAGGAATTTAATACAGTATATTGTTTCTGACAAAGTGCTTATTTTAAAAACAAAACAAAAACATGGACTCTTGGAGTTTAAGGAGCACCTTGACCCTCTGTCCCATTTCTGCCACAACAGGTTTGTGGCCATCTCTGGGTCCCAGGTTCCTTCTGGGGCTGTCATGGATGATGTGGTAAATCCCTTCCATTTGCCAAGAACTGCACAGTTTTCAGAGTGCAATGATGCACTGCACATATGATGTAGACCCAACATATGGTTTAACAGGAATAAAAATACAATATACCCAATGATGCTTAGAGAGTACTTAGGTTGTTCCTTTGATAGCTGAGAAGGGATTCCGCTATGAAGTGGCACGCTGGCCCTGCTTGGTTTTGCGTTGTGCCTCAGCACACTGGTTCACTGAATGGGCTTCAGGAGCAAAGGGGTACCGTAGCTGTTGGCAGTGCTAGCAGACAGGTGCGATTTCCTGAGGACCATACCCACATTGTAATAACCTCTGTGTCTCTTTTCCTCCATATTGCCAGCACTGACCTCCTATTTTCTATTTCCTTATGGTTTACAGATGATCATGATGCAGTCATGAGGTTTAATGGGGCACCTACAGCCAACTTCCAGAAAGATGTTGGTATGAAAACTACCATTCGCCTGATGAATTCTCAGGTAAGATTTCTTTTCTGTGCCTCCTGTGCGTGTGGGGGATAGAGGTCAAGCTCAGGTATTGTCATTCAGGAGCTGGCTACATATGGGGTGTTTTGTTTTGCTTTGTTTTGTTTTATTGGAACAGGATCTCTTACTGGGACCCAAGACCTCCAGATTAAGCTCCTCTGATTAGCCTGCAAGCCTAAGGAATATACCCATCTCCTCCTCCCCAGTGCTGGGATTATAATGGCACATTATTGCCCCTTGAGCTTTACTTTGAGGGAAGAGCAAGATTTGGAGTAATAACAGTAAGGAGACTTGTCTGATGGAGGAATTGGCAGACAGAGATGCACAGGAAGTGAGAGAGGTTCTCACACAGCTCTGGCTTGGGGTGGAGTGTGGCAGGATTCCTGTTGCCCTGTAGAGGGAGGTGATGCTGGGCTTCCTGGCTGCTCAGACTGGCAAGTCTGGAAGTTCAGACATAGAGTTAGGACCTGCTTCATCCCTTTCTGTTCATAGGCCTCCAGCAGAGGAATCCTGGTGTTACAGAACACCGTAGGAAACACTAACTGAGCTTGTACATCTGTGTGAGATGGACTGACATATCAGTTCATTCATTCATTCATTCATTCATTCAGCAAGCTTCTATAGGATTAAATACATACTATCTGCACTAACTGTAGCAATTAGTGCCTGCCTTCTATAGTTAGCTTGCTTGAGCTTGAAACCCAATTCTGTATCTTAGTAGCAAAGATCTCAGTGTAGGAAATGAGGAATTTGTCCTTCAAGTCTTTGATCACTAATTGCTGCTTCTTACAAAGGTCCAGGCCCTGAGTAGAGGACTATCTTTATTACACTTCCTCCCCATTGTTATTAGCACCTTCCCCTCTGGCTAAAGTGACTGCCAGGAGATTTTAAAGCCTATGGCTCCTCCTTTACCCCTTTAAGAACCAGATATTGGAAAAAAGTTCATTTAAAACAACACATGGGAGATGTTAGTCAGCTTTCCATTACTGTTGCAAATACATGAGAAAAACAGCTTGTAAAGAGAAATGTTCATTTTGGCTCTTAGCTACTTTGGGACCTATGATGAGACAGCACCTGTGGGAAGAGCAAGTTGCTTACTTTATGGCCAGGACTAAGGAAGGAGGAAGAAGGGGCCACTGTCCAACCACAACCTCCCAATAGGGCCATTCAGAGCTACAAGCCTTTAACATGGGCCTTTGAGAGACATTGCAGGTTCATATTATAGCATGGGGAACCTAGAAGATCACTGTGTATGCCCAGAGGAAGGGCCAGGCTCAGAAAAGACCCAAAGAGACCTCATGGTTCCACCCTAGGCACACTCACACTATAATCAAGGAACAAAACAAGAAAACAGCAAACCTTGAGGAAGAGGGAGAATTCGACCTCTGGGTTATTGGTTTAAACTTAGTGCTGTTTTACTTGCTTTTGTTGTAACTCTACAATTTTGTTGGCTACATAATTTAAGAAATGACTGAATTAAAATTATTAGTTTATATTTGGGGGTACACAATATACAGTGACTTGATTTTCTGTCATCTTTGGATGGGAGGAGTGAAGACAGTTGCTAAAGGAGCAGGACTTTCGTATGTTGTCGAAGTTAAGTTGCTAAAATTTCAGACTACAGTGCTATAATTTTGGAATATTAAATGCACCATAATGACCAGTTTTCCTTCTCTTATTTTTTCTTCTTCCTTCATCTTGTTTTGGTCAGAAGACTATTTTTAATTAATTGATTAATTAGTGTTTGTTGTATGTATACAAGTATTTTGCCTGCATGTTTGTAAGAACACCTGTGCATGCGTGGATCAGATCCCCTGGAACTGGAGTTATAAACAATTGTTGGTTGCCATATGGGTGCTTGGAACAGAACGCAGGTCCTCTGAAAGAGCAGCCAGTGCTCTTAACTGCTGAACCATCTCTCTAGCCCCTTCAGAAGACATTTTGATTGACATCTACCTTTTAAAATACACTAAGGCTTAAAAAAAAAAAATACTAAGGGTTAGTAAGTGACCTAACTATAATTTGTCCTGGAAAATGTCCCATTCGCCCTTGAGGAGAATGTTCTTTCTGTTGGGGAGCTTCTCTATATGTTGATTAGATGTAGTTGGTTTGTTGTGTTGTTCAAGTTTTCTATTTCTTTATCTTCGTTTGTTCTATCCTCTATTGAGAATGTGGTATTGAAATCATCAACTGGTTTTTTAGAACTCTGGAAATCACACAACACACAATGGATAAAAGAGAAATCAGGGGGTTAGAGAGATGGTTCAGCAGTTAAGAGTACTGGGTGCTCTTGCAGAGGTCCTTGGTTTGTCAGCATCAACACAGCGGCTAACAACCATCCATAATTCCAGTTCCAGGAGATCTGATGCCCTTTTCTGACCTCTGCAGGCATTAGGCAACATGGATGAAGCTACCTAAATGCAGGCAATACACTTACATAAGATAAAAATAATAAATAAAATATTTTAAAAACATGTAAAAAACAAAAAAGAGAGAAATCAGAAAGGAAATCACAAGATACTTAAATATGATGAAACCAAAAATACAACATAGAAAACTTTAAGTCGTTATAAAAGGGGAAATTTTTAGTTCTAAATTCTTACATTGAAAAACAAGAAAGGCCTCAAATTAGCAATATAACTTTACAACTTAAGAAGAAATACAAACTCAACCCAAAACTAGTAAAAGGAAGGAAATGATGATTAGAGATAAAACAGAAGGGGAAAAAAACCTACCCCAAAGCAATAAAGAGAACCAAGGAATTCCAGAAGGTTGGTTCTTTGCAAAGATTAAGAAAATTGACAGATCTTTAGCTAGATAAACTAAGGAAGAGAGGGAATTCTTACATTATTAATTAAAAAATTATAGTGCAGACAGTCTACAGTTCTACAGAAATTTTAAAAAATATAAAATAATACGAACAGTTACACACCAGTGAATAAAACAACCTAAATGAAATGAACAAATTTCTAGAAACACATACTTACCAAGATTAAATGATAAGGAAACAAAATCTGGACCACCTCTATCTGGTAAAGAAAGTGAATAATAGTTGAAAATTTTCTGGCTTCACTGGTGAACTATACCAAACATCGAGGAAGTAACAGAAATCTTTCTCAACTTTTCTGAAACTGAAGAGGAGAAAACACGAAACTCATTCTTTAAGGCTGACCTTGTTAGTCAGACCAGCAAAGACCCAAGAAGAAAGGAGACTACATGCAGGTCAGTGTCTCTCATTAACTGTCCAAAAGGCCTCAGCAAACTGAATTAGATGGCATTTTCAATGGATTACCTACCATAACCAAGTGGGATTTATTCCTGGAATGAAAGAATGGCTCAACAAAAAAATGTTGATTGACATATAATATACTGAATTAATAGAATGAAGAAAAACTTGATATTTCAGCTAATACACAAAAAGCATCTGACACAATTCAGTCCCTTTCCTGATTAAAAACACTAGAAATAGAAGCAAACTGCTTTAACATAGTAAATGTCATATATGAAAAAACCAATACAAGCATCATGCCTGATGAAAGAATGCATGTTTTCTGTTAAAATTAGGAACAAGGTAAGAATGCTGCTTGTACTGTTTCTATTTAAATGTTAGTGGAAGGCCTGACCTGAGCAAATTAGGCCAGAAAAAAAGACATCTAACCTGGGAAGAAAGAAGTTAAGTTAGATGTTTACAAATGATGAACGTAAATGTATAAAACTCTACAACCCCCCTCCCTGAAAAATTTCTCTTAACTAATAACTGGTTTAGTAAAATAACAGAATCCTAAGTCTACATACAGAAAGCAGTTGAATTTTTATGCAGCAGCATCACCATGAACAATCCAGTGCCCCTCCTTAACTGTACATAATACATCCATTTTAAAGGGAAAAACTGAAATGTAAGGCTGTTTAAGATTTGTTTTTAAAGTATATAGAGTCTTTTTTACATAGGTAATACACTACTGAACATGCCTTCATGTATCGCTGTCCTGGTGGTGTTTTCTGTAGCCACTAACCTTGCCTGGAACAGTGTAGCAGTTATAAATTGGCATGGAAATTTAAAGCAAATGGTTCTTGCTGGTATACAGCATAAGTTAGTTACATATGGGGATGGTACTTTTTCTTCAGCAGTCTCTTATGCAGCTTATATGAAATAATTGTTCTGTTAACTGAATAATACTCCATAATTACAAAACAAAACAACTGCAACTGTTTTATTGACATTTTGGATGCTTCTAAGTAAATACAATTTAAAAGAAAAACACTGGAAAAGATAGACCTGGACATGGTGATACAACTCTCTAAAAACGAGGACGCTACGGTCAAGAGGAGTACAAGTTTGAGACCAGCCTGGGCTACACAGGGAAAACCTTGCTTCAAAAAAGCAAAACAAAACAAAAAATGGGGGGGAAAATGCCACTGGGGGGAAACAGTCACATAAGACGAGCACAGTGTGATTCCATTTGATGAGGTGGGTGGATCAGTCGTTCATAGATGCAGAAGTAGAACGTTGCCAGTACCTAGGGAGAGGAAGGGAAATGGACTTACTGATTAATGGGTACCGCGTCAGTGTTAGATAGTTTAGACAGCGGCACAAAGAATGTGATCATACTTAATGCTGTTGATCTTTGTACTTTTAAATGGCTAATTTTATGCAGATTTTAATCAAGTAAAAAAGTTTTTTTTTAATCATTGTGGGAGAAACCATCTGATAGAGGGAGAAGTGGGATATACTATAAAGGAGATGACAGGTGATTACTCAGACAGTGATGGTGGCCAAGCCAAAGCTCAGGGGAGGACCAACACTGACAGAGGGAATCCGGAGGGGAGATGAGGGGACCTTCCAGTGTAGCTGGAAGTTATTTGTGATACAGAATTGGAGGCAAGGCCCTGTTGGAGGAGCGGAGGAGAAGGTTTTAGTTGAAGAGACTGACCAAAGGTTTGACCCTGATACTCTGGAAGTGTGGGGAGCTGTTACACCCAAGCAGTGGAGGATG